GCGGGGCGCGAGCTCGGCCCCTCCCGGGACTGAGGACCCGCTCGGCTGGGGCTCCCTGCGGACACTGTGCCTCAGGCCGCTGTCCCCCAAAGCCCCGGGGCTGAGCTGGGCGGGGGCCCCGGGATGCGGGGCCAGCCCCTGAGAGTCAGGCTGGCTGGTCAGTCGCGGCTGAGCGGCCGCGGGGGGGACTCAGAGGGCAGGAGGGCCCCGCTGTCGCTCAGGCCGGCTTCAGGGTCCCGGGCCCCCCAAGGGTGCCGGCACGTCCCTGCGACGGGGGCCGCTGTGGACGAGTAGATTGAAGCCGCCTGAGGGGAGAGCCATGCCCCTGCCCCCGGGCCAAGCTGGTGCCTAAAAAAAATAAAAAAGGGGAAATGAGAATCTCATTCATGAGCATGACGTCGTGGCAGCCCCCAGGTCCCCTCAATGCCATCAGGGTCTTGTCCTGCAGGACCCTGTGGTCTGGGCACAGGGCAGCCAGTCTTCTCACATCTATCTCTAAAATTTAACAACAAAAACATAAAATTGATTTTACAGGAGAGGTGTTGACATGCTTGTCTGCCAATAAAATATGAGTCTCAAAAAAACTTCAAAACCTGCCGCTGGGTTTTGTCGGGAATGGAGAAGGTTTTGATGACACCCGTCTCTGAGCTGCCCTGTGAAGGCTCGGCTGCCCTGGCGAGCTGCGGCTGTGCCCGCGAGGGGATGCGTTGCTCGGGGGCTTTGGGTTACTCATTCCCGGGTCGCGGGTACTGCTTTTAGCGAAAGAAATGGTGGAAAATAAGTACGTCTTTTTATTTAATTGGTTTTAATGTATCCTAGGAGCACTGCTAAGAAAAGACTGCTTTTTGAATAAATATTCAGATTATAACAAGTAGGTGATAGAAATTCTCTGTTCCAAAGAGGAACAGAAACAAAAACAGTTAGCGGCTTCTGCATCTCCAGGTCGGAGGCAAACTTTGATTCCCAGTGTTTATACTCCAGTGCCGTTGGAGTAGTCGGTCCTCTAAGAAATCACTTAACCTGCTTGCGGGATACTGTTACTGATATGACTAGACTCGCCCTGCTGGTTGGAGATGGGCCATTGATCAGAAAATCAGAGATTTACTACAACTGCTGGCTTTGCTCTTCTCCTACCTCCAAATCAGCAATGATAATGTGTCCAATACTTAATGCAAAGGCATGAAATGAGAGTGCATAGAACAGAAAACCAAGAAAAAAAGGGAAAGTGCTCTATAAATTTGAACTGCTATGGTTACAGTGGTGTTGCAGGTTGAATGCGTGAGTAACAGTAGCCAAGTCCACAAATGAATATGGGGACTATTTATAAATCTAATCTACATGATTTTCTTTCTAGAAACTGACAGTATTAAATATCAGTTTGCCATAAGGACTCTTGGCTACCTAGTGGAACCAGCACTGGCTTAGGAACCCAGGGCTGGTCCCAGCCCCTGTGCCCGACCTGAGGCTGTGTTTGCCGGGTGCACCTACCAACCCAGGAGGGGCTGGACTGTCCCCTGTGCAGCAACTTGGAAGGACTGGGAGATGAGTTATTTTTCTATTCTCTGGTGTCCTATCCTTTCCCAGGTTGCTGTATTCCAGGTGACAGAGGCTAAACTCCAATTTAAAATGTTTGTTTGTATAGCATCTGGGCCTCTTTTGTTCCATTAATCAATTCTACTATCCGGCAAGGTAAACAAACCTCCAGCTTGTCTTGGAAAACAAGATGGGTCCCAGACTAAGCTGGCTGTAGCTTCTCCCCTGAATGCCATTGTCTTCTCTCAGTTTTCCTCTGATTTTTAACTGGATGGGAAGCGGTGAGTGAAGGAGAGAGATGACTTCACTGTCTATCTCCCCTTCCTTCCTGCAAACAGGCACCCACACCACGACGTACACTCTGAACCAGAGGCTTAGTACTTGGGTGGTCAGGGGCCGGGTGAAAATGAACAGCAGCTTCTCCTTACAGACACCCACCTCTGGCACCCCTGGGAGAGAGGGGCAAGGCAGTCAGAGCAGAAAACGTTCTCCGGGGATAGCAGGTCTGTGGCTGGATTCTGTCACCGCCACCTGCCTCTGGTCTTGCCTGGTGCACAGTTGACGATATGAGTGAGATGGTCCAGTCGGGAAAAGGGCCATTACCCACCACCTCGGCTGCCCTAATTGGCATGGCTGATGTCCCTCAACCAGCCTCAGGAACCCACAGAAATAAGGAAAATTTAGTCCTACTGTTGTACATTGAAAATCGCTTCCCCAGAAAAGCCAGAATTGGGAAGACGAGACGAGTGGGCTGGCTGCCTGTTCTCCATCACCTGTCTGTGCCTGCTTCCATGCCTCCTACCTCAGGGTGGCCAGTGGGCAGGTAGAGAACTACCTGTGGGATGTTGAGGCCCACACACCGTGACTCGCCTACCAGGTCTTCCCTGCAGATGGTCCCCACGCTCTGGATGAGCTCCATGCCCCTGCCCTCTATCTCAGAGTCTCAGGATTCGCTGAGTGACTGATGAGTTCATCTCATCACCTGACTTACCTGGTGGTAGCTGGTGGGAGGCCTGAATAAATACTAGTTCAGAAAATGGTGACTGAGTCCATTTCTTAGGCCTCCAAGGTAACATTGACATTTTAACACCTTCAGTAACTTCCAGTGAGAAATGAGGAATATCAATCCAGGCCATTCCAGGAATATCTTTTAGGGTAAAGGATGCTATTTGAGAATCCTTAAATTGTTGCAAAAACGCAGCATCGGCCACCTTTAAGTTTCATTTCTGGCCACAGTGTTTTTATCTATTTGCGCTCTTTGTGACGGCAGCCAGAAGATGAGCTGGCCCAGATCACTATGGCAGCGTAGCGTGATGCTCCCGTTTCTGGTCTGCAGCATTTCTATGTGTTTGTGGACTCGGAGGCAAAATTCGCAGCAGAGAGTTCTGTTCATATTTCATTGCAAAGAACTGTCTTAATAACAAAAGCTGCTGTCTCAGTTTCATCTCCGAGAGGCAGAATGAAATGATGGTCCTCCCGGGTCCGTGTCTCCAGTGTGCGGTTATCCCTGTTCTTGTCACTCTAACTCATGAGGACACAACAGAGCCTGAAACAGAATCGTAAAATCTGTCACAGGAGACATAGGCTGCATTTTGTGTGCCTCTGACTCTCAGCTGGAGCTTCCTGGTCTCAGAGGGGAGAAGCTGGTTATGATGGAGAGATGGGTCCCCCAAATCTCTAGAAAGATCCCCTAAATCTCCATGGAGTAGAAAGGGTTTGTGTCTAATTCTGCTCTCAGTATTGAAAGCAGCCCTCTTGCAATAATTCAATATATTTAGTATCAAAAGGGGGACCAACTTCTCACGCACACAAGGTTTACATATCTGTTGTTGGAAATTTTCCTGGGTGAGATTTTTAGTAGTAATAATAGTATTTTATGATAAAAACACATGGTAATAATGATGAGATTTATCCATTCTTCATCTCCATGGAGTCAACAGAAGGCAACGAGAGTAATGTTTCTACAGTAGATACCAGTTAAATAGAAAACCATGGAAAGAACAACTATTGCTCATGTTTTAAGCTGATTACCAAGAAGTGATGGGTTCTTACCCCCCAACTGTATGTGGCTCAGGAGAGGTGGTCATCAGGGGCCCCTCTCAGGGGACTCAGTTTCTACAATGTGATAATGGGACATTTTTTGGGGGGGGACTGTATGTACTGTAGTTATTTATTATGGTATCCAGACTGTTTCTATCAGTGTATGGTATCAGTTAGGGCTAATTTGATTGTTTCTAGTAGAAAAATAATCCAAACTATTTTAAGGTTTAAAATAATAATTTATGGGCTCCTGTAATGAAAAGTGAGACCATGTTGTCAGGACGGCTGGATTGGGGCTCAGAGGATCATTGGGCTCCCATTTCTGTCTGTCTCTGGACACTGATTTCTTGAACATTAGTTATTTCCAGGTTATTTATGGTATAGTTTCCTGGATCTGCCATCGTGATGTACTACACACAGGGTGGCTTAAACAACAAAATGTATTCTCTCAGTTCTGGAGGCTAGAGGGTGGAACAAGGTGTAGGTAGGACCGTGCTCCTGGGATGGCTCAGGCGGGACCCCATGTCTCTCCTGCTTGGGGGCTGGCATCAGTCCTCCCTGGCATCAGCTCCTCATCCGTGTCTGTTCCGTCTTCTCAGGGATATTTTCTGTGCTGTGTTTCTCTCCTTGTAACGTCCCCGGTCACTGGATTTAGGGCCCACCCCAATTCAGTAATACCTTAGCTTAATTTGATGAAATCAGCAAAAACTGTTTCTAAACAAGGCCACCTTCACAGTGCCTGGGGCCAGGACATCAACATTTGTTTTGGGTGACACAGTCAGTGCATGGCAGTAACAAGGCTGACCGCAGTTCCTAACCTGTGTCTCCCAGGTCCAAAGTCAGCTGAAGGGACAGTGTCTCTCTTGACAACTCAAGCAAGACTATGCCCTGTCCGTCATGGGTCTTGCGATGCTCACGTCTGAGTAGTCGCTGTGGCCCGGAGACATGAGGCCTGTTTGCCTGGCTGCAGAGCTCGGCCCAACCCTGGGGCTCATGGGCCAAGAGAGGCAGAGACATTGGTTTCTCAAGAAAATTAGGCATCATTACCAAAGATACTGATAGCCAAGCAGTTTATATCCATCAGATACCATTTAAAATAGGTTTAAGATCATCTAATTAATGCACAGAAGTAAAGGAACACAGTAGGGACACCTGGCTCCTGTTGTCCCACAACTTTTCTCTTTTTTGTTTACATTTATTCTCAGTTCTATTGAGAGATCATGGACTTACTTTAAGTCACAGATATTTAGAGTGAAAATGGATGAGTTTTTACATATTTATACACCCACAAAAACATCCCCACGATCAAGAAAACAATATATTACCCCCCAGAAAGTCTTCTCAGGCCCTACACAACCCTGATTGGCTCACTGTAGATTGTTTGCATTTTCTAGAATCGTATAGAAGTGGAATTACACAGTAGGTATTCTTTTGTGTCTAGTTTTCTACTCGAGATAATTGCCATGTGTCCCATCCCTGTCCCTGCATCCATGTGTCAGCAGCTCGGTCCTCCCCACGCCCGGCAGAGCCCGTGCTGTGGACTCACTGCTGGGTTGTAGTCACTGGTTTGTGGACATTTGGGGCGTTTTCAGTTTTTGACTGTTACAAAGATAAGTATCCATTGGGAAACCTTTATTTAAAATTGAAATTTCTTTTATTAATAATGGGTGAATCAGGTCTGAGTATAACATTTACTGCAATACTTACAAACGGTGATAAAACGTTTCCTTTTTCTTTTCCAGATACTGAGAAGAGCAGACAAAAATGGTAAGACCAAGAATCTACATTCTGTTTATTAATCCCCTACCCCCTAGGCCACCTTATAAGAAAATATATAGCCCTGGCCGGGTGGCTCAGTTGGTTGGAATGTCCTAGACACCAGAAGGTGGTGGGTTCAGTTCCAGGTCAGGGCTAATACCTGGGTTGCAGGTTTCATTCCTGGTCAGGGTACATATGGGAGGCAACTGATATTTCTCTCTCTCTCAATATATATTGATATATATATTTATCAATAAAAACATATCCTCGGGTGAGGATTGAAAGAAAAAGAGTATGGAAGACAGAGGCGAACTCAAGAAATTGACACATAAAACGTCCGCTTCTTGTCCCAGTAGAGTTTTAAGCAAGTTCTTGGCTCCGGACACTCACGAGAGGCCGACACAAGTACTTGCATTTGACAGGATGGTAGAATTGATGCCTTGGGCAGGAGGAGGTGTCTGGGCTCTGGCTTTTCCCTTTTGTGCTTTACATTAATTTTAAAGGAGCAACAGCTTCCGTTTGTTGAGTGTCCACTATGGAACGAGCATTTGCCTGCGTTACGTCTTCGAGTTAGTAAGACACAGATCTGAGACTTGGACCAGGTCTGTGTGGCCCCAAAGTCCAGTTCCGTGTCCTCTGAGGTGGCCCCGCAGGCACTTACACCAACTCCTCTCCACCTGTGGCTTGTGGCCAAAACGCCCCATAATCTGCGGAGATAGAGAAGAGGGAGAGGGAGGTGGCTCTGTCAGAGGAACTCCAGTGTGAATGGTGCCCAAGCAGTCCAAGCACAGCTGTCACAGCAGCATCTTGACTCCTTTATTCCACTACCAAGTGTGTCCGCAGAGTCCAGACCAGAGTGCACTGGGCTCACCCTGCTGCGGTGGTGTGAGGGCACAGTAGAGCCATGGTTTTTTCTACCTGTTCCCACATTGCCCCGTATCCGCTAGAATCTCCCTTACCCTACGTATTTGGCTGTTCATTTGCCATGTCCTCCATCCTAATTAAAAAATCCATAAGAGCTCGTCTACTTGTATTATTAGCATGAAACTGTTTGGCACATAGTAGGGTCTTGATAAATATTGGATGAAAGTGTTATACTAGTAAATGGCAAATCCATGTTCAAAACTCCAAGTTTCTTTGTTCTATGAGTGCACTGAGCAGTGGCTCTGCTGCCTCCATCCCAAAAAGTAATGGAGCTTAGAGTTTAAGGCCAGAACAGTTCGAAAATAAATCAGAGAGGGGCCAGAAGGCTTTGGATAAACTCAGGCAAAGCAAGTAGTTCTAAGACACAGAGTTGAAAAGCCGGTGCTCTTTGCTTTATTAATGCAGAACCATGCTAGAAGGGGATATTTTTTCTCCCATTCCTTTAAAAATGTAATATGTTAGCCCTGGCAGCATAGCTCAGTTGGTGAGAGCCTTGTCCCCATGGGCCAAAGTTGCAGGTTTGACCCCGATAAGGCATGTATAAGCATCAGTAAGTGGGACAACAAATCAGTGTTTCTCTCTCTGTGCCTTCCTCTCCCTCTCTCAAGTCCATCAATAAAAAAATTAATATAATACTTTGTTTAACATTAAGGCACTAGAAGTATTCCAAAGTAACCCTTTGCCATTGCTCATTTTAACCTTTAAACCTTGGGCGGCCTGAATTGAAGACTCCAGGAGCCCTGCACGCGGTAAAAATAGCTTTCAAAACACACTTTCCTCCCTGCAAGAGAAGCTGTGATTCAATGCCTCTGTTTTCCTCTTATGCGTCTCTCCAGTAAGATTGAGGAGAAAAGGCTGTCAGCTCCCATGGGAGCATCGAAGCGCTTGTTATTTCACGTTTTTTTGATAGTATGTACTTTCTCGCCTGAGCTTACTCACTTTGCATCGATTATAAATCAGTTACAGAGGCGCGTGCCCACTACCTGCAGAGGCAGCCAGCGCGTGAGAGCCTGGCCAGCCCCCTGGGAGCCACGAGCCCTTCCCCGTGAAGCCTGAGTGCGTTGCTTGTTCCCTATCGCTGTGAGCAGCTGGAAATACTGGGCTTCTGTTTTTCTTTTTCTTTCTTTAATTTTTTTTAAGTAGATGAAAAGGTCTTTTCCTTTCTTTCTTTGACCTATGCCTAGACGTGGTCTGTGTTCAATTCCCCACCCTGGCAATGTATTTTTCCTCGAAGTACAGAGAGGCACAGTGGAGGCACATACTCAGTCTAGTCTGGGATAAACATCTGACTACAGGAGACTCAAGTTTAAAATAGGCATTGGAGACATGACAGGAAAACAGAAGCACAGAGTCAGGNTTACGGGAGACTCAAGTTTAAAATAGGCATTGGAGACATGACAGGAAAACAGAAGCACAGAGTCAGGCAATTGGCGAACCTGGGAGGTTGGATTCCATTTTGTAAGGTTGCTGTGGGGTTTGAATGGCTGAGCTGGGCTGGCCCGGGGAAACCACTGGGGAAAGACTCGTCCCAATCAGGATTTTTACAACCTAAAGTGATGTCTGTTGGGTTGGCAAGAATTAACTGGAAGATTGGTTTGATACAGCTATTAACTTAAAAAGCAAAAAGCAATCTAAAAACTCTTAGGAGCTTTTATATTTATATTTTGAAAACAAGGATTTTAAAAAATGTTACAGCCTTTACATTCCTGCCTGAAATAGTAAGTACTTCAGTGGTTAGGCTTTGGCCTTGTCATAATACCTCCCAAGCAGTGTGCCGAGGGTCAAACAGGGTGTTAAGATCTTGATTTCTTGTCTGCCATCCTCCGTGCCCTCTGTGATTTTCTGACTCTCTGGTAGAGCCCAGGAACCTGCGTTTTGACAGAACTTCAGGTGGTATTTGTCTTTCTCTGTTTAACTTATTTCACTGAGTGCAGTACCCTCTAGGTCCATCCGTGTTGTTGCAAATGGTAAGATTTTATTCTTTTTAATGGCCGAGTAATATTCCACAGTGTATATGCACACTTCTTTATCCATTTGTCCCGTGATGGACACTTAGGTTGTTTCCATATCTTGGCTATTGCAAATAATGCTGCAGTGAACATAGAGATGCATGTATCTTTTTAAATTAATGTTTAGGGTTTCTTCGAATAAATACGCAGAAGTTGGATTACTGAGTCATAGGTAGTTCTATTTTTAATTATTTGGGGAACTTTCATACTGTTTAGAACAAAATAAATGAACAAAGAGACACAAACTCACGGATGCAGAGAACAAACTGATAGTTGCCAGAGGGGTGGGAGGTTGGGGGACTGGGTGGAAAAGGTGAAGGGATTAAGAAGCACCAATGGGTAGTTACAGAACAGTCACGGGGATGTAAAGTGCAGCACAGGGAATATAGTCAATAATATTGTAATAACTATGTATGGTGCCAGGGGGTCACCAGGCTTGTGAGGGGATCACTTTGTAAGTTATATAAATGTCTAATCACTATGCTGTACACCTGAAACTAATACAAAATGACATTGAATGTGAACTGTGCTTGAAAAATAAAAATAGAGAACTCCAGGTGGTCTGTGGGCTGTCTTTGGAGAAAAAAATTCTCTAAATAAACCTGGAAGATCCAAACTTATTGAATCATACCTTCTGTTCAAAGACGAGTCCTTCTTGGTTCACTTCATGCCGTTGGGGGGAGGGTGTCACCCTGTGCTGCCCCCTGGCCCTTAGGCCTCAGTGACATCTTAGGAGACTGGAGGAGCGTGTTCCCACAGCCATTTGGCAACATATCTGAGATGACTGGCGAACCTACTCGTCCCGGAGACAGAGGCTCTCCTCCCCCTCCATGTCGCTCACTCCCCTAGATCCTTTGCTGCTGTGTCTGCCATAAAACTTTCACCTCCATTGGTTTCTAATGTGTCCTTCCAGCTCTGCTTACCAGGCCTACCTGTTGATGAGAGTCAGATGCAGAAGTTAGTGAAACTCCTCATGCCCTCAAATGAAAGGACCCTTTACTCCCCGAAGTCCGTGTGTGGCCATGTGTCTGACTTACTGGGTTATACTCACATCTGCATGTCCCACCTCCTTCACCAGACTGTTACTACACTGTCGGCTCTCACAGCGGGTGGAATGTGTTGGCCTTAAGTCATGTTCATTTGTTTGAAGAGTAAAGGAATGGACACAGTTTGTTGGACTATAATAACAATTCTGACAGTCACGTTAGCATCGATTCATCGATACTCAGTTATTAAACATCTATTTATTAAACATCTATGATTTCCACAGCCTGCCAGGTCCTGTGTATGAGGGCAAGACAGAAATAATTGACTCTGTCTTGGGCTTTTATTGGGTTGTGTGGCTGTCTTTTGGACACAGACTGCTAAATTGCTTGTTAAATGTTTGTCCTATGAATAAATGAATCGAAAAATACCCACAGCCATATAGGATGTTTCATCAGGGTGTCGACATCTGCAGTTGATGTAATAACAGCCAATCATTTTTATTTTTAACACCTTGAACCTTTTTTTCTTTTTGAATCTATGTGTACATCTGCACAAGCACTGCAGCAAAGTTTTAAAAATTAAAAGATAAAACAATGTGCAAAGTTAAAATGACTTTCTGTTTGTTCTTCTGTTTCAGATGATGGGAAACTGTCCTTTGAAGAATTCAGAGCGTATTTTGCAGACGGTGTTCTCAGTGGGGAGGAACTGTGTGAGCTGTTCCACACCATCGACACCCGTCGCACCAAGTGAGGGGCTTCTCGCCACCGAGCCCTAGGAACAAGGGGGGGTGACAGGTGGATGGGATATTGGGGCATGCTCTCCAATGCTCCCCCATCATTCTGAGCTCCCCAATGCTCCCCCGTCATTCTGAGCTCCCCAATGATCCCCCGTCATTCTGAGCTCCCCAATGCTCACCCGTCATTCTGAGCTTCCCAGTGCTCACCCGTCATTCTGAGCTTCCCAATGCTCCCCCGTCATTCTGAGCTCCCCAATACTCCCCCGTCATTCTGAGCTCCCCAATGCTCCCCCGTCATTCTGAGCTCCCCAATGCTCCCCCGTCATTCTGAGCTCCCCAATGCTCCCCCGTCATTCTGAGCTCCCCAATGCTCCCCCGTCATTCTGAGCTCCCCAATGCTCCCCCGTCATTCTGAGCTCCCCAATGCTCCCCCGTCATTCTGAGCTCCCCAATGCTCCCCCGTCATTCTGAGCTCCCCAATGCTCCCCCGTCATTCTGAGCTCCCCAATGCTCACCCGTCATTCTGAGCT